TCGGCCCGCGGCCTGCCCGCCGGCCCGTTCTGCGGCAGCGCGCGCTGCCGGCCGAACCCCGCGCAGAAATCCCCGAGGCACCGGGGAGCGCGGCAGCCCAGGGTCGATTCCCCCTCCCCCGCCCGCCCGCCCCCGCCAGGGGGTGACGCCGCACGGAGGCGTCTAGGAGGATCCGCCTGGGCGCGAGCAAGCCTGAGCCTCAGGCTGTGGCGATGGACGACGGAGGAGGAGGAGGAGGAGGAGGAGGAGGAGGAGGAGGAGGAGGGCGAGGAGGAGGAGGAGGGCGAGGAGGAGGAGGGCGAGGAGGAGGAGGGCGAGGAGAGGAGAGGAGGAGAGGAGGAGGAGGAGGAGGAGGAGGAGAAGGAGATCCTGCGGACTGTGGACCTGCGGAGCTGAGGATCTGAGGGTGGGAGGCGGGGAGGCAGGAGCGGCGCATGAGCAGCGGGGAGGCGTGCCCGCCCCCCCCCGGCCCGGCGGGCGCCCCCGGCGGCCTCCAGCGGCCAGGCGTCGGGCGCCGCCGCGCGCGCGCGGGCGGGGCGGCCAGAAAGGGAGGGGCCCTGCCCGCGGCCGGCGGGGCGCGCCGCTGCCGCCTGCCGCCGAGGCATGCAGTCGGGGCCGGGGCCCTCTGGAGCCTCCTCCTCCTCGTCCTCCCTCGCTTCGTCCTCCCTCCCTCCCTCCCTCCTCGTCCTTCGCCTTCCCCTTGCCCCGCCTCCCCCACCCACCCACCCACCGCTGCTCCCGGGCCTGGTCGTGGTCTTACTACTTCTTCCCCGCCTCCTCCTCCTGCTCCTCCGCTTGTGTCATTTCCTCTACCTCTTCCGTGCTCCGCCACCCTCTCCATCCTCCATCCTCCTCGCCCTGTACTCCCTTGTTGTCTCTTCCCATCTATTCCCTCCTCCGTCGCCCTCTCGTTGATCCATCACTCTCTCTCCACCTTTCTCCATCCTGTCCCATCCTCCATCCTTCCCTGTACTTAGATCTTTCCTGGCATGCAGCATCAGTTGCAGGCACATGCTTACAAAGCCGAACGATGCGACGCAACAGGCATGTTTCGTTTCGGCGCCGCCGACATGCCTTTTTTGGTGGTCCTGTGCCCTCCGCGGCATAGCAGGCGTGGCACTTGGGCACCCCAAGGGGGAGCCGCCATGGGCTCGGCGTCGCTCGGGCGTGTGCATTTCTCCTTCGGCGAGGGCCATCGAGGAGCATCCTTGATCATTTTCAGGAGGGGAAAAACACACAGACACAATTAATCGTCGATTTCCCAGAAAATATGGGAAAATATGGGAAGTGGGGGGGGGGAAGACAAAAACCCAGAAAATATGAGAAAATATGGGGGATCTTTTTATCTGTGTGTATTTATTACTTATTTGTGTGTCCTGGGGCCCCTTCAACATTTGGCGGGCAAACCACGCACGAAACCGAAAAAAACACAGGGAGTGGACGTCCGAGCGATGGCCAGTAGGTTGTTGCATCTGCCCGTTCGCGCCCACAGTGTGGGGATGTCTCGAGCGGCTGGTGTCGGCGCCACAAACGTGTCTCTTGTGGTGGTCACCACTCTACCGCTTCACCCACAGCACTAAATTGAGTGTCAAGCCGAACCTATGTGATACGCCCGAAACACACAGAACGAGGTGGGGGTCCACACTGCAGCGCCCAGCATGCCGCCAAGTTTGTTTCTTCTGGGCTCGCGGGCGGGGGGGCCGCCCCAGTTCCCTTCTCGGTTGCGCGCCCCGCAGTTTGGAGGGGCGTTCCGCGTGTGTTGTTCAGCGATTGCGCTTGCCACGTTTTTTTTTTTGGGGGGGGGGGGGGCCGCGATGCTCGTCCGTGGTTCGCCTCTCGCCCGACCTGTTCCCTTCGACCCCCCCCTCCTCCTCCTCCTTCCTCCTCCTCCTCCTCCTCCTCCTCCTCTCCTCCTCCTCCCTCCTCCTCCTCCTCCCCCTCCTCCTCCTCCTCCTCCTCCTCCTCCTCCTCCTCCTCCTCCTCCTCCTCCTCCTCCTCCTCCTCCTCCTCCTCCTCCTCCTCCCCCTCCCTCTCTTCGCATGGGTGCTTCTGCCGGCTCTTCGCCGCGCGCACCTCGAGGCGGAGAGCCCGGTCGGCCTGTGGAGGGGGGCGACTTCGTCGACAGATCATACGGTGCCGCTTCAAGACATGCTCCGCGTGCGGATCATGTATTACAGATGCAGGGGCTTTGTATGGAAAACAACGCTGAGCTCATGCATACATTTATCCATACATGAATCATGTATTCAAATTCGCATGTTTTAGTTATCCCGGCAAAGCAACCTAACAGCGATGAGTATAAGCATATCTGGAAGCATTCCCCTTAAGATTCAGGTGAGAATCCAGTTGTAGAATTCTGCTGTTCTCGCAGTCGCAGTCGCATTCGCAATGACAGTCGCAGTGGCAGCGGCCTTAGGATCCAATGGATTCCTAGGGATTCCCAAGGCTTCCTCAGGCATCCTTAGGCCTGCCTCAGCCTCAGCCTCAGCCTGTCTCAGCCTCAGCCTGCCTCAGCATCAGCCTCAGCCTCAGCCTCAGCCTCAGCCTGCCTCGGCTTGCCTCGGCCTCAGCCTCAGCCTGCCTCGGCCTCAGCCTCAGCCTCAGCCTGCCTCAGCCTCAGCCTCAGCCTGCCTCAGCCGCAGCTTGCCTCAGCCACAGCCACAGCCACAGCCTCAGACTCAGCCTGCCTCAGCTTTAGCCTCCGCCTCAGCCAGCCTCGGCTTGCCTTAGCCTCAGCCTCAGCCTGCCTCGGCCTCAGCCTCAGCCTGCCTCAGCCTCAGCGTCAGCCTCTCAGCCTCAGCCTGCCTCAGTCTCAGCCTCAGCCTCAGCCTCAGCCTCGGTCTCAGCCTGCCTCAGCCTCAGCCTGCCTCAGCCTCAGCCTCAGCCTCAGCCTCAGCCTCAGCCTGCCTCGGCCTCAGCCTGCCTCAGCCTCAGCCTCAGCCTACCTCAGCCTCAGCCTGCCTCAGCCTCAGCCTCAGCCTGCCTCGGCCTCAGCCTGCGTCAGCCTCAGCCTCAGCCTGCCTCAGCCTCAGCCTGCCTCAGCCTCAGCCTCAGCCTTCCTCGGCGTGCCTCAGCCTCAGCCTCAGCCTGCCTCAGCCTTAGCCTGCCTCGGCCTCAGCCTGCCTCAGCTCGGGCATTCAAAATATGGCACAGGACTAGTTTTCTGGGAGCACGAAGAACACGAAGTGGCCTGCAGTTGGCTCCGGGCATTCGAAATATGGCACAGGATTAGTGTTCTGGGAGCACGAAGAACACGAAGTGGCCTACAGTTGGCTCCGGGGATTCGAAATATGGCCTGGGAATTGTGTTCTGGGAACACGAAGAACACGAAGTGGCCTACAGTTGGCTCCGGGCATTCGAAATATGGCCTGGGAATTGTGTTCTGGGAACACGAAGAACACGAAGTGGCCTACAGTTGGTTCCGGGCATTCTACATGTGGCCTGGGAATGGTGTTCTGGGAGCACGAAGAACACGAAGTGGCCTACAGTTGGCTCCGGGCATTCAAAATGTGGCCTGGGAATGGTGTTCTGGGAATGGATTCCAAAATATCTAAAGGCTGCCGCCTCTGCCGCCGACCCCAGAGAAATTCAGGGAGGCTCAGTTGTTTAGTGCGTTTGGTTGACCGCGTTTTGCTTTTCCGTATACGTGTTTCCGATAAGTCGGACGGCCATCCTGGAGGTTCGCGTTGCGCTCCTCCTCGTCGTCCTTCTCCGCAGATTTTCTTTGGTTTGTATTCACTGTCCGTTTAAGAATTCCTACGGATTGCATCGAATTCTTGTGGATTCCTACGGATTCTCGAAGATTCTTGTGGATTCCTGCGGATTTCTCAATGTTCCTGTGGATTCCTGGGGATTCCTGGGGGTTCCTAAGGATCCCTATGGCTCCTGAAGGTTCCCATGGATTTCTAAGGATTACGATGGATTCCTAAAGGTTTTCGGTCATTCCTGGGTAGTCATGGGATTCCCAGGGGATCCCGAGAACCCCCCGGGATTCCTTTTGAAGTCCTGATGATTCCGATGAGGTCATTGATTCCTGAGGATTCCTGAGGATTCCATGTGGAGTCCTGGGGATTCCTGGTGATTCCTATGGCTTCGCAACGATCACGAGGGAGTCTTCAGGATTCCCACGGGTCCCTCCGGGATTCAAGGGTTCTGACTGATTCTTGAGGATCTCAATGGATTCCTGCGGATTCCGAAAGATTCCGATGGATTCCTATGTATTTCCGAAAATTCTAGACGCTTCGCGTGACCCCACCAGCCCATACAGAAACGATGCCCAGAGGCGTTGCTACGATCATGGAAGGGGGCAGCACGCAGAACAAGGGTCCCCCGGTAGAACAAGGGGGGCCGCTCTTCCTTCTGATGTTCGTTTTCTTATTCATTGTTTTGCCGATCGGCGCGGGCCCTCGCACCCCCTCCCCCCCTATGGAGAAGATTTTGCCTTTTTATGGCGCCTGTTTCGAGCAGGTGGAGCCTCCCCCACAGGACGCACTGTCGCAAACAGTTGCATCAAGCAGATGTCCGAAGCCAGACCCCCACCCTCCCCCCCCTTCCTCTCAATGTCGAAATGCCGAATACGAAAACGTTCACGTGTCCAGGGGCGGCGGGGTCGAAGTGCTCGTGAATGCCAGCGGATGCTGGTCCATATACGGGCGCGCAGAATACATCATACGATCATTCATGTTTCAATCGTCGCCACACTTTGGTGGGAGAGTGTTCTCCTAAGCAGTAGCAGAATCTCTAAGCATGTCCGTGCCTTGTGTGTTTCACCTTGTGGCGATCGCATTGCGGATGCATGTGGTGGCAGTACTGGACGTGATGTGTCATCGATTGTCATCCCAGGCACGCTACCACCAGCCCGCTATCATACATCAGGGAAAAAAGAATCATGGTTCAATCGCCGCTAATCTCGGACAGAACGTCCGTTTCGATGATGTCCTCCAGGGCTATACTTCTCGAGGTACTGGCTATCTGATTGGGACCCTTCCCGGGAGGCCCAGGGCGCCGTTCAGGAGCATTTCGATCGTCAAGATCACACGCGTATCGCAGAATCCATCCCGAGAGGCGTTGCTTCTCCCGCCACGGTGGTTCCATGGCCGACGTTGCGGTGGGAGGGGATGCTCAGGCATTGGGGGAGAGGAGGGAAGGATGTTTTTTTGTTCCTCGGATCTTTAGCCAAAGTGGTTACGGAGCGCTCGCAACGGAAACTGGAACCCAAGGGGCGGGGTCGCTCCACTGGGGAACCGGTTCCCAAGGGAGGCGGGCGAATGACGCGCGGGCTTTCAGTCGTTCCCGTCACTCTTCGCTCTAGGCTCGCTTCTCTGTCAATTAGTCCTACGTCGGCGCACCAACTCCGTGACGTACGAATTGGGTGGCACGGCGCCCCGCTACGCCATGCCTCACGCACCACGCAGCAGACGCGCTGACCAGGACACCGTTGGCCCTCTGAAAAACTGGCGGTTATAACTGTTCGCATGTCCGCCCCTGCGACAAACTGACGTACACAGTTTTGACACCATACCCGGCCTGGCAGCACCCCGCGCGCACAAAGCGAGCCCCCCCCCACCCCCCGAGTTGCCGGGGGTGACGGGGTTCGAACGGGGGGGGTGGCCCTCCCGGTTCGACGCGACGACGATGACGATGACGATGATGACGACGAAAACGACGGCGACGACGACGGCGAAAATAACGACGAGGACGACGACGACGACGACGACGACGACGACGACGACGACGACGACGACGACGACGACGACGACGACGGCGGCGGCGGCGGCGACGACGGCGACGGCGACGGCGGCGACGGCGACGGCGACGGCGATGGCGACGGCGACGGCGGCTGCGAAGGCGACGGCGACGGCGACGGCGGCGGCGACGACGACGGCGACGGCGGCGACGGCAGCTGCGAAGGCGACGGCGACGACGACGACGACGACGACGACGACGACAACGACGGCGACGGCGATCCAGCGACGACGATGACCACGCGCACAGGGGGGGAGACGGCGACAGGCGACAGGCGACCAGCGACGACGACGCGCACAGGAGGGGGGAAAAGGGCCTGGTTCGAACCCCCCCCTCCCCTTTGCAACTCAGGTGAGGGGGGCCCCCCGCCGGCTCGAACCCCCCCACGCCCCCTGACCCCCCCCCCCTTGCAACTCGGGGGGCAGGAGGCCCCCCCGGTTCGAATCCCCCCTTTTGCAATTTTTTCTTGGGGGGGGGCTTCCAGGTATGATCCCCCCCGCCACCCTGGGGGCTCCCGCCACCATGGGGGGAAGGGAGCCGTCGGTCAGGGAGGCCAGTGTCCAGGGGGAGGGGGGCGCCACGCCAGCTTCTCCAGGGGCGTTCAATGTTGTGGGGGGAAGGGGGGGGCGGAGGTCCCAACATGTCAAGGTGTTTTCCCAGCCAAGCGTCCACGCAACGCGTTCTCTCAGAAAGAGAGAGAGAGAGAGAGAAAGAGGAAAACAAAAACAGAGAAAGATAAGGAGAGGCAGAGGTCGCCCCTTTCCGCCGCATTTCTGTTCAGCATCATGTCCTTATTTCCGCATCCCGTATCCGTTCTCCCATCCCATCCTTTTTTGTTGTGTATCATTCCTCCTTCTCTATTCTTCTGCTCCCTCCCACAACCATCCCGAGCAGTGCCCCGCCAACCCTCCGCGCCACCTTCGGATACATGACACAAGCAGCAGTTCTATATCTGAGTCCACTCCGCTCTCGGAGTCCTCTTGCAGCTTGCCACTGGCGCGGCGGCAGGATCCTGCTGAGCCGCTGCAACCTGGTCGAAGCTGTCATTCCGGCCCTGCAGTCTGCCTTCCTCCGTCGCCTTGCGGCGTTACACAGCTCTGCGCAGCAACAAGACATGATTGGGTTAAGGCTTGTATCTGGTAAAGCATCTCAGGCGGCTGGGATTCTGGGCAAGAGGCCCGGCATGCCAGCCCTACCCCCGTTCCCCCACGTTATTCGCCAGTTGATGGCCTGATCATTTGTCGAATGATGTCTTGTCCCTGCGCTGGCTGCACTGCGCCTCTCGAAAGTGATACCTCACACTGCGACCACGCTGTAGCCACGTTCTCTCTTGGAAAGGGGGGGACCTCGTCCTGCTCCCCACCGCCACCGACACCCCTTCCCCTTCATTCCCCCCTCCATCCATCTCCCTTCTCCTTCTTCTATTTCTCCATCACCTGATCCTCCTCCTCCTTATCCTTCTCCTTCTGCTTCTCCATCCCCTTCTCCTTCTTTTCCCTCTTTACCTTCTCCCTTTCCTCCAGGATGCCTGGGACGCGTTGACTTTGGTGGGCAGAATTCCACGCACACCAATGGTTCGGATGGGCTGGAACGCTTGGTCCTCCTTTGGCGCGGGTCGTCACGTCTTCCCCTGTTCTAGAAGTCTAGAAGATGGGTGAGGTACATGATAACGAGGAGGGAGGTCTGACCTTCATGCGAGAGGAGGAGGGACTAGGAAGGAGTTAACAGGAAGACAGAAGAGGAGGGGGAGCAGGAGGACGTGGAGGAGTAGTCAATTCGTACATGCCCGACGGGGAGATACGTGGAGCACGTGAGGAGTTAGGAATGGTTGTAGGTAGTCGGGGTGAGGAGGAGTAGCAGGAGGGGGAGGCGGAGGGAAGAGAGGCAGGAGGATGAGAAGGGGGAGGGAGCAGGGAGGAGGAGGAGGAGGAGGAGGAGGAGGAGGAGGAGGAGGAGAGGGAGAAGTAGTAACAGCAATAAGCTCAATCACTTAGACATGTTCTTGATAGTCATGCTCTTGTGAGTGAAGGTGCGCGCATCTGCACGCAAGGCGGTGGGACCTTCCTGGAACGTTCCCAAACAAAAATACAGCAGAGGTAATCGATGGCATTTGAGCAAGTTTATGTTGCAAGTGTGTTCTGCATGTGGGATGACACGCTGCCGCTCCCCCTGGGGACGATTGCAGGCAGCTTAAGGTAGTCGCTGCGCGCTCATCACAATTCGTGGGCATTCGCGCCCAATTGGGGGTACCTAATCATTCATTCACGCCTACACATCGCTCATGCTGATGGTTTCAACGGGGGCTCGATGCTGATACTCGCAACTCTCTGTCACATCTGATTGTTCTACACGTAGCCTCTTGAGTAGGCCTTGGGGCGAGGAACGATAAGAACCGATCGATCGCAAATAGAAGCGAGCATGTGCAGCCTGCCGCAGTGATCCCCGTTTCCGGCCTCCTGGAGTTTGTGTGGCACGTGCGGCAATCAGCCTTCCCCCCCCCCAGCTATGTCCAAAGGCAGCGAAGACCATATTGCCATCGGGCAACAGATCTTCTGCAACTCTAACAAGTTGAGTGGTGTCCCAGAAGCTTCGACATCATTCACACGCATCCATGCCTCATAATTCAAGAGCACGTTCCGATCTGGAGTCGTTGTGTCCCCCCAGGCTGGCTCTGCATGGTCACAGCCCTCCGTTGAGTCCGTTCCGTCCTACACGTCTGGTCCGTATTCCCCCTTCCGACGAGGGCCAACCACATATGTGATTGGGGACGCTTGCCGCGGTCAAGTCTGCCCAGGCTTGTTACAAACAAGAGGAGGAAACGGGGAGGATGTGGGAATAAGGAGGACGAGGAGTAGAGGGGACGCTGGGATTGCACCCAGGGGTACTGTATCCGTGCGGCCCCACAAGCGTGCGTATCTATATGTGATTGCGTCTGCACGTCGCGACGACTCCGCACCTATGTTGCCTGGTCGTCCCGCCCCCTCCTCCCATTCTTCATCTTCCCTGTGACAGGCATTGCTCCCAGGCTGTCATGGCGGTCAGCAGGTGGAGGAAGGAGCAGTGGAGGGAAGGGAGCAGGAGAGCAAGTTGACGACAAGGAGAGCGAGAAGCAGGCGCACGGCAGACGGCTGCGGACAGGCAGGGGCGGAAAGAAGGAGCAGCCGCAGGATCAAGAG